GTACCCGGTCACATACTCAGCATAATCCTTTACTTTGTGGTTACTCTGTGCATAATTCACTTCCCACGTGATGCCATCTATGAATTATATTAAACACGTACAGTCATGGTCAGAAATATTTGTACCACCACATTTCTGTCAGATAACGCACGACTTCTCCCAAAAAGCTGTTGCAGTCGCAAATTCTTTGGTATTTTCTTTGGTTTGTCTTGGAAAAACCCCCAAATCTGGTACATTCCACACAGAACTCCAAAAATGTACAGGACAGAATGATTGACACCTTTTCATAATCATCAGAAATAGTTGTATTTCAGGCTTGTGATGTATATTACAAAAATCACACTTGTAGCCAGTTAAAATGGAGAAAAGTTGACAAACTTTGTGTCGTGGACCACACTGAGCACGGAGAAAAGAAAGAAGGACACAGAATTGTCTGAGGATGTGAGAACCACAGTAGTGGCAAAGCCTTGACAGTCTTAAGGCTCCAGGTCCATCTCCAGAGATCTGGCTGTTCCTGTGTCCACTGTGATCAACATTGTTAAGAAGTTTACAGCCCGTGGCGCCGTAGCTAATCTCCCTGGACATGGACGAAAGAGAAAAATAGATTGGTCGAATGGTGGATAAAGAACCTCGATCAGAACAGCACCCGGGAGAAGGTATCCTTCAAATCTGAGACTTGGACCAGCTGGCAAAAGAAGAGTGGTCCAAAACTCCAGCAGAGAGGTGGAAGAAACATATAGGAAGCAACTGATTTCTGTTATTTTGTGCACAGGGTGTGCTACCAAATATTAAGCTGAGGGTTTCAGTAATTCTGTCCAATCCATTTCTGGAGTTCTGTGTGGACTGGACCAGATGTGGCTTTTTCTTCTGCTTTTTGCGTTGTTATAGTGCAAACAAAAACAAAAAAAATTATGAAAATACCAAAGAACTTGTGATTGCAACAGCTTTCTGGGAAATGTAGTGGTTATCTGACAGAAATGCGGGGGTGTCGATATTTTTGGTCACATATTTTGTGCAAAAGCACAGAACTCATGTCTAGTACTTGTTAGCCTTACAAACAACAACTGTAGGTACTTATCGAGTCAGTTCACTGCAAGCCGGCTATATTTAAACATGGGTTAATGAAACTGTGATAATGACAAAGAGGTTGTGCTACATCACCACTCACCCAGAACAAACTAAAAGATAATGTTTCAAAGAGGAACTTGTTTGAGGACTCACCTAGTCATTGAAGTCCAAAGAGAATTCACTCTTTCTTCTTTGTGCATGTGCCTGTGAGGAAGAAAACGACAAACCCCAACATTCACTCACACACACACACATAGTATGTGCTGGAGAGCAGCTCCAGCTAGCTTCGCAGCCCTTTTCTTTTCCTGACACTTCTGTATCTATCACTGACCTAATATTATAGGTTCAAATGAAAATCATAGTCTGTGTCTCTTCTCCTTCCTCTGGCTATCATCTGTGCAGCAGTGAGGCGTGTTGTGTCACCAGCTGTGTTGTTGCAGAGAGAGAAATGCTGAAGTGAAGAATGCGGTGATGTTGCACATAGATCAAATTTGAATCTGTGGTCAACCCCCTCTTCTCTCCCAGCCAGTAGGCAGAGCTCAGGCTGAGATAGAGAGACACAACAGGCCAGGGCTCAGGCCAGACCTTCTGATGACACACACCAGGCCAAGCAGGGCGATCACTTCGATATGCATAATATGCTCTCTGCTCTGGGCTCTCTTATGATATGAAGGCATCTGCTGAGTGTTGCAAACTGTGAATAAAAAAAGGGCTCCCAGATACCACATTATGCCCTGACAATAATTAAAGGAACACCTTCAGAGCAAGCCAGGGCCCAGTTTACACTGCCACCCGAGAGACGTCAGCCTCTCCAGCTAAATTTGTAGGCAGAAGGCTCTTGGATGTTAATCATACCATCACATTATGAAATCTTGGGTCAGAGCAGTATTGTGTGTGTATTACAGAGAATTAGTGTTCAAAGTTACTGAACCAGCCTAGAGGCAAAATCCTGTTAAGTGAAGATGGCAAAAGTGTGTTTAAGTACACATTCACACTGTTTTTATTTAAAAAAAAAAGTAAGTAGGTGTGTCTGATGTGTGACATCATGTATTGTATATTATGAAGGTATTGTTGTTGCACTATTATTTGCAAGAGTGCATATATCTCAGTGTGAATGTGTACAGGAAACTGTAAATGCTAATAATATTTGTACAGTGGCTTTCTGTAGTGAGTGAAGACTGTTTAGGTTCCAGAGCTGGAAAAACAGTTAATTCTTTTTGTCCCTCAGGTGTGACGCTGCAGAGATGTGTGGTGGCCGTGTTTGGGTTTCTTTGCCCCAGGTGCAGACTGTCTGGCAGTGTGCCTCAGTAGTTACACCGCCTCCATAACACCAGGCCATGCATGTATATGTAGATTTGTGTACACATTTAGTACCTCAGTAGACAGTTGTTCTTGTTAAATCCTTCAATAAGTTGAGATTTCTCTGCAGTTTCAGGACAAGTGCTCAGCAAAACCTTTGTGCTGAAAGTTTATAAACTGCTAGATAAATTCATGCAAGCACATACACACACACACACACACACACATATATATAAGAGCACATTTACACATGTGATGTGAGAAAAATCACCTGTAACCACAGACGTTGTACGTGAAATGAGCAGTGAAGGAAGAGAAACAAGGAGAGGATGTGAAAGGATGAAACAGCCACTTAAACTTCAGCTACACCACAACAGTGATGGTTGAATGACCTGATCTCAGGAAAATAACTATTGATCTGCCAGGATGAAATAGCCCCCCCACACACAGACACACACACACACACACACACAGCTGAGTCTGAAATGATTTAATTTGCATTTCCATTACTTTCCCCTGGAGCAGTTGCTGTATTTTGTGTCAAAACTGTAACTAAAATGTAACATCGTGAAGCAACATTGCTTCAAATAACGTGGTGTATGTTGCTCTCCTGCTCTGATCCTCCCACAATGGCGGTTGCATGTGGCCGTAGTGGTTTGGGTATGTCTGCTCTTTAATTACCAAACAGCGACCATCAAATCATGGCTCTCTCTTATTGCCAGTCTTCTCTCATTCTCAGCCTCATTGTGTGCTGCTAGCGTCGAAAGAGAACTCGGCTCCAGTGAAGCTGGGGGGGTTTGGAGTCGCCATCCAGCTCGGCGAGTCAGGACTGGTGGCAGGAGGTACAGTACACCCCACCGTACACACTAGAAACATGCACACTCGTGAAAGTTGGACTGAAATTTTGGTTCTCCTCCTCAGTATTTGTGTAAGGAGATATGAACTGTTATGATGTTTAAGCTACTGTGATCACTTTAGAAAAGAGGATAAACCTTTTTTTTTTTTTTTTTTTTTTTAGAGCGTAGGCCCACTGGGATGGGACTGACAGTACAGGGGGAGGTCGGGGTCATGACTCAGTCACACCTGCACACAGAGAGGAAGCACACACTGATGTGCTTCATTGTGACTAGTCTTGTGAGACGTGATTGTGCATCCATGCTTACACTGCATAAAGGAACAGATGAGTTTGTGTGCTGTGGTGCTGGTTTGTCAGAAATATCTAGCTGACATCAGCGACAGCTCATTTGACAAGCTATGGCTCCCTACTGGTGATTTCATACATTTTTTTCATAATCATCATCTTACTTTCTAAAAAACAGAAAATAATTTTTAGAAGTAGGAAGCAACCCACAGTTATAGTTTCATTCCTGTTTTGTGTAACCGTATGTTCATCATAGGAGACCAACAGCAAAACTCATGAAGTCCATTTCACTTGCAGGGGAGCACTCTCAGGTTGCAGTAATTAGGAAAAGAATAGACATGAGAGTGTTGTTGCAAGTTTCAAAGAAGGAAGCGAATCTGACCGCACTTCCTTTTACTGGCTCAGTGTCAAAAAAGAAATTACAAAAGAATAAAGAAGTCGTTTAAACTCAATTGGGTGCATACTTTTAGAGGTCCACCTTCATTTTAACAGCTAATTACCTGATTTTGTCTTTGTACCCGCAGGTCGGGTAGGAACTCCCCACTTCATGGCCCCAGAGGTGGTGAAGAGAGAGCCTTATGGGAAGCCCGTGGACGTGTGGGGCTGCGGAGTCATCCTCTTCATCCTCCTCTCAGGGTGTCTGCCTTTCTACGGCACCAAGGAGCGTTTGTTCGAAGCTATCTGCAAGGGCAAATACAAGGTTAGGGATCTATCCAAAGAACTCTGAGTGTAAATCAATGTGTCGTTTCATACATCCATGTAAGAATCTCCACCTTAAAAGAGAAAACCCACCCTTTAATTGGATTCACGTTATTTCTGTGATGTTTTCCAGCTCAGTTTTTTTCCCAGTCTTCTATTAGGCTCATCAGCAACGACACAGTTAGAGTTATGAGAGTTATGTTGGACATATTTTCTGATTCACATCTCTAAGGCCTTCATTTCAAAAGAACTGATTTAATGAAAAGCCTCAAAAGAGACAGAAAGTTGCTCCACTGTCAGTGCACCACCTCCAGAATGTCTGTAGTACCTGTTGACACCGTGGTGGGACGTTTTACCGATGATGTTTGAACCACAGGTCCTGTAACGTCTTTGTGTTCCTGTGTGTGCAGATGAATCCGCGTCAGTGGGGCCAAATCTCCGAGAGCGCCAAGGACTTGGTGCGGCGTATGCTGATGCTGGACCCTGCTGAGAGGATCACCGTCTACGAGGCTCTGAACCACCCCTGGCTCAAGGTACTGCAGGGCCTTCAGTAGCACCTCAGTGTTCTGTAAAGCACAAACCTGCATGACAGGAGCTGTACAACATTAGTTTAATACAATAATTTGACTTCCAAATTTAAAAGAACCCTACATTTGAATTCCCCAGTTAGTCATCCCAGTGGGAACTGGTTTCAGATGCAGCAGCACACCACTGAAACAAAACACACTACCGTTTTCTGTTTTGGATTACCATCTCATGGCAAACTGCGCTTCACACTGTAGCAGCTGATCTCTCAGCTGGGTGTCATCTAAGAAAGTTGTGACTTCTCTGAAAACTTCTTGCCTGTTTCTGAGACGAGAATAGAATTGTAAAGCCATGTAGCCTGAAGCCGTCACGTCATGATCAGCAGGTTGTGTGACACAGCACGTCATACAGGAAACAATGACAATGAGCACCAGCACAGCGGTGTTATGTGTTGTCAACAGAAAGCCTTTATTGTGTCTTTTTCTGTGGTATTCGTAAACACGCCTTCTTGACAATTCAGCCAAGAGACCTGCACCCCATCTGGGGGCATCAGTCAACTCTTCAGACTAACCCTCAGTGCGTTACTGATGTTTTAGCTCCTGGTTTGTTTTTGCTGTGTTTATAGAAAGATAAAGTTTTGACAAATCAACTTGTGTCTGTCAGTTGAAGCAGCATATTTAGATTCTTTGGCTTGTAGTATTGATCTCTCGCCCCTGATTATGAAACACCACACATTCTGTACACTTTAATCTACACTATATCAAACAAACACTCATACTCGTGCACTTTGTGTAAACATTATTCCTTCTTTTCCTTTTAAATATAATTACTCCACAACACCATTTTATTCAAGTCGCGTGAACCACAGCGCTCGCTGCTGGCGGTCAGTGCTCACTGCAACATAACCTCGGTGGTAAATCTCCCACAGCAGCTTTCTGACAAACGACCACAACACAGAAACAACAGCATGCAGTGCTCTGCAGATAAACAGCTGCAACCCGGCTGTTTTTCCTCCAGAGTCCCGCTCAATAAAAAGTCTTACGGTGATGTTTGCTAAGAATTTATGGCACATTTATGGTGCTAACCAGTGAAATTGCATTTTCTAATGTACCAAGATGCTTTTCCCCAGACAAAAGAAGAAAAGCGGTGCTGCTGGAAGTCGTGTGTTTGGCCTCATGTGATATGTATTTTAAGTCGTTCCTGTTAAGAGACAGGGGAGGAGAGAAATAAATGTATGCAGATACTTTCAGCTCCTGATTTACAACCGCATGCTGATGCTGCTGCAGGAGGAACTGCAGCTGATATTTACCATCAGGAGAAAGCAGGTGTAAAATGTGCAGCCCTGCTGTTAGCGTGGCTGCTGTTATTGATCCGAGACCTCGTCAGAGTTAACACACACCGGGAAGGAGAGGGTGTTTCTAAATCACAGCTCTCTTTTTGGGACCCCAGAGGAGAATGTGAGGGATTTTACAGGCTTTCAGGTCAAACCATGCTTCAGTTACTGAACCAAATGAAAGTTGGCTGCAGAACATGATGTGATCTCAGCTGAAATACATTTGTCGGTTTCTTCAACCAGGATTAAAAGTTCCGTCACTGTAAACTTATACTTTGTCTTAGGCTCCCTCTCGGTCCATGTGCACATTACAGACACCAGGTTCTTATAAGCGGAGGTGAGTTTACATGAACAAGGTGCTCATGTAGTGTCGGTAAACACTATAACACAGTGACTTTTGAGTGGTTTAGTAAATATCCCCCTTAATGTCAGAGCTCAGTCACATAATCAGTCGATCAGCAGGCAGTTCATCTGCAACTATTTTGATGAGCAATGTATCGTTGTAATCAGTCAAAAAGCAAACGTACTTATTTATCCAGGAAACTGTGATGATATCATTTTAATGAGCTGGGTATCACGTCACAACACAGTCGTGTGTCTGTTATCAGGGGGACACTCTTGCCCTCCTGGTGAAACTCCTGATTACAGGTACTGGAAAGTAAAAGCATGTGTGAAGTGGAGTCAGGCAGAAGTTAGTGGCCAGACCTCTGTACTCCACTCCTGATCTGTTACTGGCTGACTGAGTTGTCTGTGGTCATGGTGCATTGTGGGTAACACTGGCACCAGGAAGGGGAATGGTTCTGTTGCATCAGTGATGACCTCTTTCTTTTTGCTTTTTAACTGTCCATCATGAGTCCAACAGTGCTACAGGGCATAAAGGCTAAATCAGGATAAGCTCAGTGATTTTTTTGTTTGTGTCATTGTCCTCAAATCCCATCCACAGACTAACAGCAGCAGTGAGTGACAAGAAGTAGAACAAGAAAAATCTGGCAGCGGGAAGATGACGTGAACACCCGCAATCCAAAAACACAGAACTGGTTCCCTCCCACAAGCCGTGAACATGACATTAGAGCTGAACTGGTCTTTAACTGGAAGCCTGTGCTTGTCTAAGTGGTTTTCTTGTCTTGTGTTGGATTTCTAAGGAGCGGGACCGCTACGCCTACAAAATCCACCTGCCCGAGACTGTGGAGCAGCTGAGGAAGTTCAACGCCAGGAGGAAGCTCAAGGTCTGCATGTACACACGCACAATCAGTTGTTGCAGTCTAGGCCTTGTCATGACACCGTCTCTGTCCGATGATATGATAGTGAGATGCAGATACAGAGGTAGATGTTGTGGTTTCAGGGGGCTGTGCTGGCTGCAGTATCCAGTCACAAGTTTAACTCCTTCTATGGAGACCCCCCCGAGGAACTGCATGACTTCTCCGATGACCCCACGTCCTCAGGTACACATGCTCACAGACTTAAATGTGTTACCCTTTCATTTCTCACATACATCCTCCCACAAATTTCCTTCCTCTTTTTGCTCTTTTTCGTTTCATCTGTGCTTCCTGTACAAGGCCCTACAGTGCTACTTCTCTCTCCTAGCTGCTCTTTAATTCACCTGAAAGACAGGATACACACTGTAGAGCCAGAGAGCCGCTGGTCGCTGGAGCAGAAAGCAAGAAAGCCTTGTGTTCTTCTCTCCAGTCTGACAGTTTATCTCATTATGCAGGTTAACACACACTGTGAATGCATCAGGCTGCAGGATGTGTTTTCGTGTTTCAGCAGTCAGCAGATGCAACTCTCCAACAATATTTGTACTTGAAATATAATTGCATCTGTATTTAACATTGATATTGACACTTGTGTTCACTTTCAAAATGTCAATCTGTTACTCTGTTTCTGTTAATGCTTCCCACCTGTAGGACTACTAGCAGCAGAACGTAGGTATCCATTGTGTCTTTGTGTCCTGATGCCATTAGTAGCTGTTGTCTTGTGTTTTGTTTTTAATAGCCTGAACTCGGTGTGCACACCGGTTATAGAATACTGAACATGTTCCTTTAAGGTGTTTCGATGGACCATTGTTGTGCACTTGTGCATGTGCAGGGGCTGTGTCTCAGGTGTTGGACAGTCTCGAGGAGATCCATGCGTTGACAGACTGCAGTGAAAAGGATCTAGATTTCCTCCACAGTGTTTTCCAGGATCAGCATCTACACACACTGCTCGATGTAAGTGTCGACACCAACACCACTCAACACACAGTAATACATCTATCTCTGAATCATTCATTTTTATTTTATTATATAGATTTTTCTCCTTTCTACTTTATGGGCAACTAAAGGAACAGGATAAGGATTTGTTAGTTCATAAAAGCTTCAGAGTCTTCACCAGCCTCTACCACAGGACACCACTTCCTGTGGCCACAGGTAGTGTTGTGTTTGTGTTTCCAGTGGCAGCTGCTGCAGCTTTTTAAATAGAATAAGAATACAAATTGTGTTGCTACTTTGGCACAAACAAAAGAGCAGTGTTGACACACACTCCACTGAAGCCCCTTTCTCAGCCACAGTGCTGGCCTCTGTGGTATCTTTGTGCTCAGCACAGTGTGCATGATACAAGAGGGTAAGGAGAGTCATGATAAGCAAGTGAGGCCATGGTCTGTGGGAGAACCCTGCTTCTTGTCCTTTTCACGCTAGGACAGTGTTACACTGCAGAGTCATTCAGCTGATGCTTGCATTAGCAAGCACAAACTGGGTTTGGAGACGTGTTTGTGTGTTTGCACCTGCTATTTTTAATAATGTGCAAACCACATCAGGCTGCTGCAGAATAATCACACAGACTCTACTATGCGTCGTCACACTGTACTGCTGTATGTAACAGTGAACGGTTGGATGGTCACTTGAACAGCAAATGTTTCATAACATAGACTAATTAATCTTGTCAGCCTAATAAACTAAAGACAATCAGCAAAATGTCATGGATTTGTCTTTTTCCTTATTTACATGGCTGCAGCTGACTCTTTAAGGCAGCATCCACATCACAGGCCTTCATGCTCAGCTCCAGTGGTTTAGTCAGATCTGATCTTTTGTGTTGATGCCTCACATCCGTGTGTGTAAGTGACACATGGTGTGAACACTGCTGAGCTCCTAAACTGTGCAGGCGTAACTGAAATGTGAGCATGCACAGACAAGAATAACAACAAGGTCAGTTGTTCGATGGTTAAATCTTTTCCTCACAAACTGCAATCCAGGAATCATTCATGGAAACACATCATGCAACTATACTGACAAGTTGCACAGCTGAGGACAGTTTCTTAAATGTGAAGTGAAAAAGGCACATTTTGTGCTCCAGTGTTACAGCCTTACTGGGCTGCAAAAAAATTAAACAGTCACTGTAAAATAAAAGAATGAGGAAGTTCCCAGACAGGAAAAAGGAAACCATTGTTAGTGTTTGACTTTGACAGACACTGACTCGAATCAGCTCAGTGGGACAGCTAAAGCTTTATTTTTAGCATCAGACGGACTTTGTAGTACATTTCTACACAGAACGAGGGCTGGCCTTCATTTTACGGACTAGTCACATTAAACCATCAGGAGGGGGGCTGAACAGAGGTACAGAGCAGGTTGCATGGCCCACTCTTCACCAGACGTACAGTCATGGTCAGAAAAGCCTTGACAGTCTCAAGGCTCCAGGTCCATCTCCAGAGATCTGGCTGTTCCTGTGTTCACTGTGATCAACATTGTTAAGAAGTTTACAGCCGTGGCACCGTAGCTAATATCACTGAACATGGATGAAAGAGAAAAATCAATTGTTTGAATGGTGGATAAAGAACCTTGATCAGCTTCCAGACAAATTCAAACTGATCTGCAGGCACAGGGTGCAACAGCTCGCACTGTCCGTCACTATCTGAATGAGAAGGGACGCTATGGTAGGAGACCCAGGAGACCCACTGCAGTCACAGGAATATAAAACAGCCAGAGTGGAGTTAACTGACCTGAGGAAGCCACAGTCCTTCTGGGAGAATGTCCTGTGGACAGATAAGACCGAAATAGAGCTTTTTGGTCGAGCACATCATTGTACTGTTTTCAGAAAACAAAATGAAGCCTTCAAAGAAAAGAGCACGTCCCTACAGTCAAACATGGTGGAGGTTCACTGATGTTTTGGGGTTGTTTTATTGCTCTGGGTACTGGATGTCTTGACTGTGTCTATGTCATTATGACATTTGAAGACTACCATGGCCCCAATGTAGGGCCCGGTGTCAGAAAGCTGGGTCTCCGTCAGAGGTCATGGGTCTTACAGCAGGACAATGACCCAAAGCAGACTTCACAAAGCACCAGACATAGTTTCAGACAATGTGCTGGAAAGTTTTGAAGTGGGCAGCAATGAGTCCAGATCTAACCCCATAGCCCCCTATGGAGAGATGTCAGAACATCAGCCGGGAGAAGGTATCCTTCAAATCTGAGACCTGGACCAGCTGGCAAAAGAACAGTGGTCCAAAACTCCAGCAGAGAGGTGGAAGAAACTTATAGGAAGCAACTGATTTCTGTTATTTTGTCCACAGGGTGTGCTACCAAATATTAAGTTGAGGGTATCAATAATTCTGTCCAATCCATTTCTGGAGTTCTGTGTGGACTGGACCAGATGTGGCTTTTTTCTGCTTTTTCTGTTGTTTTGATGCAAACAAAAGAAACAGTCATCATCACAGAATTCCACCAGCTTGTAGATGTGTCCTTAATCACGAACCGTCGTGCATCTGCCTTTTGGAGCCTGTAGCTTCAGAGTCGATTTGGCTCTGAATGGCATCTCTGGAGCAGCCGGTAGAAGAGGCTCAGTAGTTGCTGAAGGAGTAGAGATGAATGCTCACTTTCACCTCTGTCTTCTCCAGTTCTGACTTTGTGTTTCAGTCTCGTGATCTTGTGAACACAAGTTTGTCTCACTAAGATACTGCAGATGCCTTCATAAGCGGGGTCAAATCATTGTTCTCTAGTTCAAAGGCGAGGCCAGCCTTCTTCTTTGATGAGCTCCAAGAAACAAATGAGTCCTAAGAGGATGCAATTAAGACATCTGAGAGCGATAATTGAGGAAAAGGGATTACTGAAGAGTGAACTGTGTGTGATGTGGTGAGCTGCAGGCTGGTGAGGTTGAAGTAGGCTGCAGAAACTCGTGGGTTTGCCAAGTGTGTGCGCAGCAGTGTCAGTGGGAGCCTTGGGCTGCAGATGTCTCCTATTCAGCCCAGTCTCACACCCCTGCCCCGCTCCGACAGGAAGGGGGGAGGGAGTCAGTAAAGGGCAGAAGAATGCAGCCCAGCATTTGACCACGAATGAACAATGGCTTCCATTGTCAGGCCTCGCTGCCATTCACAACAAGTGCAGCCTCCATCGGCGTCTGAAAGTAGCCTTCATACCGCAGAGGTCCTGTGGACGCGGAGCCGTCTGCCTGATAATTGGTGTCTCTTGTCTAGTGGCTGCAGTTTCCTTACAAGTCACTTACCGACTCCTGGGTGAGTGTGTCTCCTTCCTGTTTTTCTTCCTCATGTGTTTGCAGGAAGCAGGTTTTGTCAAGAGGTACCTCAGGCTAATTTGAAGGCAGCCTGCCATCCCCCTGTGTGTCTTTCTGTGTTAGACATGCATAATGAGGCACGTTAGTCAAGTGCCTTTTTGTTTCTGATGCTCCTTAGGATTCCCAGCTAATGGAGGCAGGGTAATCACTTGCCCTGAAATGGAAATGGTGTCTGAATTTATTTGTCGCTAACGGGAAATTAAGATATCATAGTGTTACTCATTTTCAAATGAGAGCTGCTCCGTACTTGTTGTGGCTGTCGGTGCATGCAGACACAGCCACAAAGCTGTGATGGTGAACAATGTAAAAGCACTGATTGGTCTCTATGTACATGACCCAGTGCAGCATTACAACTGGTTGCTGGGCCCATTTCCCACCTGTAAATATCTCAATATATGTTACAATTTGTTCAGCTGTGCAGGATCCGTACGTGTTCCTTAGTTCTGTTTTTCAGAGATCACATGCTGACAACTCTCGCTGCGGCTAGAGTGCAGTAGATAAGCCTGTGGGGTGTCACGCTCACCGGCACTGAGCACGATTCGCTGAGAACAGGTTTATTTCAGTTATCTTAGAAGGATTTCCTGTGGTGTGTTTGTATTTCTCAGAGTCGGGCCATGAAGGAGGATGCAGGTGCACATTTGAGATGTGCATGTGGTTTGTCACCATCTATTTTTGTTGTGGCAGAGGCAGATTTTTGGAGTTGAGAGCAACTGCTCCTCCTCCACACTTCCTGTTAACTCCTGTTTATTGTCTGTCCCCTGGTCAGTCAAACCCGTGTCTCCTTGGTCTGCATGTGCTGTTAGAGAATCACACGGATGGATCACTGCAGCTGCTGTCTGCCTTTGAGGGTTTTTGTTTCCAGAGTGGGCAGTCCCACAGTCTGCTGTGAAAGTAGGCAGCATTTAAACTCAGCTCTCTTCCTACTGTATGTCTCCACACCAACGATAGCCATCACCAGAGGCAATATGTTGTCCATTTCTCCATCCCACTCTTATGAATGTGATATCTCAGGAACGCCTCGAGAGAATTTCTTCAACTTCACTCCACTCGGATTCAATGAGGAACTGTCTTGGTGGTCGAAGGTTAAGTTCACTGTGTCCCATGTTTGTCCTGTCCTTGTGAATTTTACTGGTTGGCAGAGCCACTGTGAAGCCCTGATTCACAGTGTATACAGCTGAGTGCAACAAAATAAATGTCTTCTCAGAGATACTTTTCAAAAGTGTAAAATTTGCCCCATTTGTAGGGGGCATATTATTCGACCCCCGTGATGACAGATTTTGACCTTGGCTTTAATTGTGTGGCCTTTCAAAACAGCTGTAAATGTTAAGTTCCATACATTAAGATGTGTATTGTCTGGTACAAAAGCTCTGTCTGTTCTGTGTGGACATGTTATGTAAGCGCGCCTGCTGATGCACCTTACAGCTGTTTAAATGAAGCCTCAAAACATCAGCCATCACGGTTGTTTCTCTGACTGTGATGACAGTTGTTTTAGGTGACCACTGTGTCTGTGCTTTGATTTGTAGACAGCTGCTGCCTTTGTTTTCACTGTGCTTCAGGGCCATTTTGCCTTAAATACACCCACGCTGGCCTGTGACTGGGCTCAGTGCACCTTATTAGCCAGCTGGGATTTTTATAAACAGAGATGTTCAGTCTGTTGTCCTTCAGCCAGAGAGAAAACAGCTCCTTTCTGTTCACACTCAAACTAAAACAGAGAAGAGGACAAGTGGAGAATCAAAGGACTTTTATTAAGTAACAGGTCTCTTTAAGTTGTTTAAACTCTCAACCTCTTTGACTGTAAACCAGCACATCCCATATTTTATTGTACTAGCCAGCACTGCAGGGAAAAGTGCATTTTAATTTAAACTGGAAATTAGACTCGCCTCAAAAAGATAACTGGTTTAATACAATACTTCATACTGTGTCCAGGAAATATCCTTCACTATGCTAGAAAAGCCCCAGCAACATTCAGGAAGATCTGGGGGCTTTTCTTAATGCCTCACCTTCAGTCAGGTGCAGCGACTGACGCTGGAGCATAATGTATCTGTTTAGGACTCACAACACTACATTTGACTAGTAAAACATGCACATCCATGTATATACGTACCTGTCTGGAAGCCTTTTGTGTCCCGTTCCCTTTATTCTCATAATAATTGGAGTGAATCAGAGGTTGCACGGCATTCAAAGAAGGGAGGGAGACAGGAGATGGAAGATGTGGCAGAGAATTGGTGATGTATTTGTTTGACCTCCAGGGTGAGGATTACTTGTTAAATTATCTTTTTAGGTGACATGTATCGTCTTTACAGTACAAGGAAAAAACTTGTTCCTCCCTTGTGTCCCCACACACAGGGCAGGTTCTGGCTCATACAGTTTACAGTAAACAAGATCCTCTGATATTCTGGCCAGAGAAGCTGCACCCGAGCTGCTGAAGCTTCAGGATCCTCTGAGGAAGAAACAAACTGTTTTGTTTACAGCCCAGCTCTGCTGGATATCACAGTGTGCAGGGGTGTGTGCGTTCGTGTCCATGGCCGCCCTGTGTGCCTCTGGCTTTGACTTGTTGTGACTGTTACAACACACAGCCATCTGTAAAGTTTTGCCATCACTGCAAATTAAATCAAATAAAAAAAACAAAACCCTGTGGCAAAAGGCATGAAAATAAACATTTTAAAATAGGTGCGTTTTGTTTATTTCCTTACAGGCTGTTAAGAATCAGATGTAACTTTGTAGGTTTAGTTTTTGGGGAGTGACAGTGCAAAAAATAAAACTTAGATTTAACCATACATTTTACTTTTTGAGTAAATTGTGCATGTTTGTGTTGCTTTTCACCATCTTTCATAGCATTGCACATCACTGAATCAAAGGAGGAAGATGGATATTTTTGGACCAGATGTTCCAGTTTGCTGATTATTTATGTACCGTTCTGTTGGGGCAGCTTGTGTGTGGGAACATTAAACTTGAAAACTTTGGGTTTTTTGCAAAATGAGAAAAGGTGTTTGTAGAAAGACATTTGTTTCTCAAAATGGTTAATTTTACATTTCCAAAGAAACCCATTCCCACATGTACAGTGGTTTTAATGAAGTGCTTTTCATGGACAAGTGTCAGCATCACCAGAGCGCAGCGGCGACCGGCTGGTGGTGCTGAGCCCAGAGTGGAAGCTCTGGTTTTGAGTTGGTGTGTTCAGGTTCCGATTGATTAATTGATTGACTCATAACGTTTTGTTTCAGCTCTACGATAAGATCAACACCAAGTCGTCCCCACAGATCAGAAACCCCCCGAGTGATGCTGTGCAGAGGGCCAAAGAGGTGAAGGAAAACACACACACTGACACACAGCTCCTCTCATCCACATTCACGCTAACATACACAAGCACATGTCCACTTCATGTTTGCCATGTGTCATAATAATCACTTTATGCTGTAAAGATGACAGATTCATTGGTTTATGCCTTTTCTCTGACAAGATAAGCCCAAGTGGTTTTGTATGTTTCTGTGATTTTGCACAAATCCCATCCAGAGACAGACGGCACAGAAGTGCTTTTAACACAGCTCAGAAGGCAGAGAACAGCCTTTGCACGGTGTCTGAAGGAAGACGGAGCCACTGCCATCTGCTGCTCATACAGGTCCACTAGCTTCTGTTGCACAGAACAACAGACGGGCCTCCCATGTCACCCAGTGCAGCGCTGTGGCTCACTGGAGGGGTATAATAGCTGATGGATAACAGTGGAGGTTTATAGCAAAGACCGATAAGCTGAACCAGGGTCTGGACTCACACACATTACAGGTGCTTCTAGTCTCTGGATGGGATTCATGGAACAAAAACATAGAAAATCAGCTGCCTTATCTTTTAAAGACTTGAACCTTGCATGTCTCTCGGTGCTCGGGCTGTATTAACCCCTCTGACCTCTTGCTCGCTGAAGCCCTAACTCTTCACAGCTCTGTTCATTTAACGCAGCTCTTCTCTGTTTGTGCACAACCAGAGGTTCTCAAGGTGTGTGGTTTCTAAAATTACTGTCTGAATCAAAAATAGTTGCATTATCAATACTGCTTATTCCTGAAGAAGGTAACAGGGGGCTGGAGCCAGTCCCAGCTGTCATTGGGCAAGAGGCGGGGTCCACCCTGGACAGGTCACCAGTCTATCACAGGGCTGACACTTAGAGACAGACAACCACACACATGCACACTCACTCTCCTACGGGCAGTTTAGAGCACTAACCACCGCGTCCCCCTTGGAATAGCAGTAGAAAGATTTAGTCCAAGTATATTACACTGGTCTTAAAGTTAATGAGAGCCACTGGTAAATTGAGTTTTGTCCCTTTTCTTAAATGTTGCCCTCAAAGAGGGCAGCTGAGGGTTACAGCTGTACCAGCTGACTCGAAAACAAACCCAGAGAGACTGAACAGTTCAGTTCAGTTTTGCCTAGTTATCACATCCTCTGCAAGCTTTGTTTGTTGATGACTCGAGCCCATTGTCAGAGCAGCTGTACCACTGGCCTGTTTACACAGAGCTGCTGTAATAAAGATCTCAGTCTCTGTGTTTGACTTTCTCATTAGAGCTGCTGCTGCATGTAGCGCACACACCAGTAGTGTATTTGTGGCCTATTAGTGTGGATTAGCTGTCTTGCAGTGAGTTGTGTTGCGGTCTTTGGGGTCTGACCCTGGCTATGATGGATTCACATACACTCTGTTAGTGTGGGTTCATGTGTTTGCCTCTTACTGGAGCAGGATGCAGGCTGGAACTGGAGTTTAACAAGGAGTGGAGGGCAAAATGTGGATCAGGGGTGTCCATTGTGAGTGTGTCTGTGTGTGCATGCAAGCAGCTGCACAAAACGCTGCCATGTTTATGTTGTGTGCTTTGTTGAGGGAGCAATTAAAAAGCCAGCCGGGGAGTGGGCGAGGGCTGTTAAAACAGGGAAAACCACTGAGGGGAGCCAGGTTGCTTTATGTAGCTTTGGTTTGTGGCCAAATAACATAGCTCTGCTACATTGTCTGAAGAGTTTGAGTCTACTCAGTCTGGTTCACATGTTCCTGCTTAAATCTCCATGGATCCACAACAGATGCAGCTCTGTCTGCCTGAGGAGTGAGACGGCACATTATCTGCTTTTAATAGTTTTCTCTACACAGAACCAAGCCTTAAAACCAGCACCATAAACAAAAGCATAGACAGTTTGCCTACAACTTGGTGTAGATACATATTTGGTTCCATTTTGAAACATAGGAATTAAATGAGTTTGTTTTTTGCTCTTATATCTGCGACAGGATTTGGGAGAGCTCAGATTTGTTGTCACATCTTAGAACAAGGAATGATAGAAGGAATTAACCCAAAATCTGAGAGATGTGGGAATGTATAGTGTAAACATTGGTTGTTAATTACAAGGCGTTTATTCAAAGATGTTGGGAAACTGTGTTATTTATTTGTTTCCTTGTCAGCACCTGCTCCCGAGTTCCTGCAGTTTATGCTGAACTGGTAAAAGGACATGCACCATCTACAGCAGCAAAGACTTGGCTCACAACTGTGATTATCCTTGTTGCACCATGAAGGACATGATGTCACTTCAAGTCTGTCTTTAAACAATAGTCAGACTGCCATATGAACATTGACGCGGGTTTTTCTTGCTGTAATCGTTTCTCCTGTTCACACTGGCCAACATCCTCACACACATATATTTGCTAACATGAGGTTTCAGCCTCCCAGGTTACACAGTCACCTTGGTTTTTTAGTGCAAAGTTTTCTCTTTTTTTATTTCTTACTGTCCCATGTCTGGAAGGGACCTATTGGTTTGTTTAACTGCGAGTGCTAAAGCCTCATTAACATCAGACAGAAGTCTGAATACAATAGCACACAACGAGGGCAAAGGGATTTTGTCATGAGCAGGAGGAATGATCGCACCAAACAAAACCTGTTTGACAGTTCAGTAAATCACTACTGTTTACATGAATCTGTGCTGACTAGGAACCACTGGGGTCAGGGGCTAAGATCATCAGTACTGCTAACTGAATCTTGTTCTTGTCCAAGGTGTGCACACCATCTTCTTGTGAGTTACGGGATTGGTTTGATTCATCTGTGAGTCCTTAGTGCTTTGTTCTACATAGCCCTGATATAGCGAGTACTGGCCCACCACCACAGTCTCACCACAGATAAACTCATCGTTTAATCCTGGTCGTGTGGTCATGCCTTTATGACGGTAGAACAGAACTACTCCCTCCTCTTCCTCTGCTTTACCTCTCTCTCTGCTCATTCAGTCTGACTGACACAGAAGTTCTTCCAACTCCGCTTTTTTCTCACTGCATTAATACAGTTTTTACCACCAATCCTACCAGCTGATCCTAATCCTACCGAATTAGAACTGATCTTTCTTGGGAGTGAAGTTTTTGCTTTGGCTGTAGATACTAATCTCACAACCCCTCCTAATTCACAGCCCATTCAGGTGGGCTGGCATTGAATAAAGGAACAGGTGGAGTTGTGCTCTCCCCTGACCTCTGTCATCACTGGCCTTTAAACTCTCTAAAAAAACGGACAGCCAACAGCCTATATAACCCTTCTTCCTGTGTCTTCCTTCACTTAAGAGTTCTTCCCAAGACGAAGCAAGTGGCGCTTTGAAACATCTGGAATATGTAAGACACCACACTTCTGCCCTGTTTACTATACTAATGAGTAGAACATAAGGCCAAGCTAGTTGGCTTGGTTTCTAGTGTAAAAATACTGGTGGTGATTTGGACAGAGTGAGCAAACTCACTGCAGACTGACTCAACCCGATCCCTTTGACTCAAACTGATCGCAGTGAGTATATCATTCCCCACCTTCCCCTGTAATGTTTATCCAATCCAAATGGGGTTTAGGTGTGAGCATTCATCAGACTGCTGACATGGGTTTGATTCAGTGCTGGCTCTTGAGTGTAACCAATAAATGTGGCTATTAGAGTTTAGAGATGATGAATACCAGGATGCACACATTCATAAGCTACACATTCCTCTGAATAATGAGTGTGCAGGAAGAAGAGAGTGCATCATAGCTCCACAATGCCAGTTTCAGTAGAAATCACACACAACCTCCTCAGAGGCCTCACCTCCACAATGCCACATTCACCAGTCAGGGGCAACATAATCGGAGCTCACATGAAGTCACGTCAAAAGGGCAGGAGGAGAGGCAAAGCCTTGAACAGTTTTTTAGAGTTGCTGAGTGGCATCCAAAGTCGGCCTCACATTGGCTGCAGAGATGTTGAAGGTGGTGTTAGGGAAGGTTGAAGGGGACTGTGAGGTTGTTTGGTCGTGTGTCACAGGCTGTTCAAAGTGCAGCAGGTTCAGTAGGGTGCTTATGCTTCACTGTGTATGGATATATGATTTGTGAGTAAAGAAGAAGAAAAACTGTGGCTTTAAGCAAACTGTCGTGATGCCTTTGTTTCTCTGTGCCCCCAGGTACTGGAAGAGATCTCCTGCTACCCAGAGAATCACGAAGCTAAAGAGCTCAGACGGATACTGACCCAGCCACATTTTATGGTGAGTCAAAGAACACATGCACACACACAGCCTGGGCCCTCATGTCTGTCATACCCTTCAGTCCCTTCCTGGGACTGCTGACGATGCTGGGCAGACATAACCCAGGCCTCTGCAGCCTGTAGTTGCTTCCTCTGCTTTCACTCACCATGAGGTGAGAGACCAATAAAGACTGAGGGACATGGGTAGTCAGTTGTAGACATGTGGCTTCAGCTTCTTTGGCTTTAACCAAACACTTGGATGTACCTCTTGAATCTAGGTGCCTTTGAACACCCATTTAAGAGCGATTCTGAAGGAGTAGATGCCTGTCTAATGTGGGGAGAGTTCTTTAATAAAATAATAAAAGGATATTTCACAGTGTGAAATTTATTATGCATTAACGTATCAAAATTAGCATGTGCACATGGATCTTCACTGTTTAGGATAAACAGAAAAGAGTGTCCTCAACTTGCCGGTATACAATATTTGTATGAAAAGGTGCTACTATCCAATTGGTCAAAAACTGTTGAGGAGAAGCCGTGGTTTAGACTTAACTCTCCCATGATTGGTCCTTCAGTCTGTCCGTCCTCCAGTCTTCCTCTCTGCTCCAATGGTCGTGAACAGTGCCTTAAAAAGGGGAGGAATACCTATACTGTCTTAATTCCTACCTAGACACTTACTTCTTTCTTTGTTTCCAACTAACTGCTCCATTTTAGGCATTACTTTCCGGTTCCAATTAAAACTGCTCTGCCTGTGTGTGCACATGTGTGTAATGGTTCTACCTTTGAAGTTTTCTCCTTTTCCTGGCTTCAGATCTAATCTCTGTTTTCTAACTTTGGTGTCTCAGTGACCCCTATTTCTCTGGTCTCATCTGCCAGGTGGTGATAATAAAGTAACTGTGGACCCTCTTTGCCAAAGCTGTAAACCTAATGAGATTCAGTGATTTAGTGAACCAGTCCCTTTGATGTTAAACAGTGCTCCAGTTGGCTAACACTATAAATATTGACCAGTGATTCAGTGAACACATAGAGTGATATGTAACTAAATAAACATAACTGTGAGATTATTTAGACTTATGTATGCTATAAAATAAAAACCTTAACTAATTTTATTCATATCTACTTAAAAATAATAACACTAAGGATCTGAGCAGTCAGGAGAAAGTCATTCTAGGGCTGTCAGCAGAGTCCCCTGCTAATCCCATCACATTAATGCATCTGATTTCTGTCTCTGATCAATGGCCCGTTCGATATCAGGCAGACTGGCCGACTGAGAAGGGAGGGGGTGTGGTGCATCAAAATGAAACAAGGAGGAAACATTCATTAATCAAGATGAATGTTAGGAAGAGGGTACATGCTGCGTTGAGCAGGGAGGGGAGGTGCAGCTGGAGGTCAATAAGGCGTGTGCGATGTGGTGCGCTGTGTGAGGTCAGAGGCCTGGCTCCCTCATAGAGTGTGAACTGATGGAGGGAGGGAGGAACAGAGGCACAGCTGGGATCCACATACCACTGAGTTCACAGCAGACACTGCGAGGATGCTGTGTTTGGTTTGAGTGTACTAGCTGGTCTGAACAGATGTCCCCACAGGTACTGGACACATTTTCCCCCAGTCCTCTCACTTTAAAGAAATAATGAAAGGCTTCGGGAACACTCAGTTATTTGACCCTGCAGAGTATGCTAGGGTTTACACACACATTTTATTTTGTATTTATCCTATTTATTTATTTACTATTTATTTTACCAGGGAAAATCCTACTGAGGTTTACAACCTGCTTTTAGAGTATCAGGATTTTTTTCTGTTATGGCCTTGTCATAATTATTAAACCCCATTTATGGTAATATAGCTGTTGATTAATCATGTACTAGTGTGTTAGGATGCAGAATGCACTTAGGCTTTTTGGAACTCTTTACCAGCAGAGATGCTGTAAACCCCGCCAACACAGGTGTTCAAGCTAAGCTGCAAACATGGTGAAGAAAAATATGAGAGGAGAAAATATTTCATTACGCCTACAAGGCTTTGGGTTCGGGAAGATTTCCAAGACACTTCCTGTTGGCAGCGTCTTGTGCTGGTACAGCAGTGAACCTCCAGGTGTTTGAGTCCTGACTCCACTTGGCTTTTGTTGATGTCATTAGCCGAGGGGTTCACATGCTGTTTCCAACACACACAGTGAACGATTGATTGATGTGCTCAGTGTGGTCAAGAACAGTACCATGTTTTGTGTTAGTTCTGACTAAACTTTAAGACAGATTTGTAGGAGGTGGTTCACACACTCAACTCAATGAGATGTTTCCTTTTTTTAGTTCAGACTCATGTCAGCACAGATGCGTGCAGCAGCCCTTCAGCTGAGTCCTTTTAAATTCTCAGCAGCTGTGAGTGTCATTCAGCTTATTGAGCTTGAAGATGACATTTGAGGTTCAGGAGAACTGTGGACATGTAAAGTGTGTTATCCTGTGGTGTCTGTGACACCTTCAATAGACTCTGTCCTA